TGAAGGACACTTCTTTACCTTTAAATTCATTCATGACACTATGATTACATCTATCGCTGAAATGATTCTCAAATCCCCAAGTTCTCTTTGCGCACTTTATTTGTGTTTAGATTTTATTTATTGATTTATTTATTTATTTCTGTTAAATAAAGAATGCGTCTTTTAGTCTTAAATGAAGTGAGGGAAGTGATTTTAGTTACGAGGCATTGACAAGTATTATGAGCAAAAACAGGAAGGGATGCAGTAAGATACCTTTTTTAAAATAACGGAGTAAATGGCTAAATACAATGCTTATCTCAAAGCTGAATAAATATGTATGGTTAACTCATTAGTAATGAATGAGTAAAGTTCCGTGTGTATTAATTTCAAAATGATATTTCAAGTTAAGAAAAAGCGCTGTCTTTTATTCTACTAGTTGTTGTAATTTCGTTGTTAGTAAAATTATATTCTGTACTAAACTGTGTAACTGTTCTTGTTGCGTAAGTTAGACAATTCATGACTGACAAATGGATATACGTGAAACAACTGGAATACTGAAGCGATTGACAAGAACATCTGGCATACTATTCTCAATATATGTTAAAGGTTAAGTTTGGCTTACCGGTTCTTAATGAAGTCAAGTTAAAAAAGACTTGGAGCTTCCAAAATTCAATTTTTTTTTATTCGAGTTTTAATTTTTTTTTCCGGCGTATTATTTTTGTTAAGAAGAGAAGCGAAATGTTTGTATAATATTCATATTTATTTTTTTAATTAAACAAAAAATTAATAAACGATCTTATTTGAAGTTTTAGTCCGTGATCTTAAGATTTCGGATTACAATTTCCCCTTCTATTTAATTTATTCATGTGTTTTTTATTTTGACGTAGCGGCGTTTCGTTTCTTAGCAGCGAAATTTTGCATATGGCCATTTGTATTTATTTCCCTATCAAATAAATGCAGCCTTAATTTTTTTTTTAAATATTTTTTTAGTGAGAAACTGACGTGACTATTACAATAAGCTTAAGAGCAGCTCAGCAAATGAAATGTAATTTTTATTTTTTTAAGCCCAAGAGGCGAGTTTTGTTCTCGAAATCGGATTTTGCGTTAGGTCATTATGAACGACATATCGCTTTACAAATTGAAGGCCGGCCAGACGGTATATTGATTAGAGGAGGTCACTGCGATACCGAAGGCCCCGGGTTCCAATCCCAGAGAAGGCATGATTGTTCCTCTCCGTCCTTTCATAGGAGGCAACGGTGGCTACCAATTTTGGCTACCACTTTTGGCTTTAAGGGAGCCTAATGTCGAAAAGGCAAGTGCCCGCCGTTAGATAAAGGGCGGACTTTATTCATTAGAAAAAATAAAATGTAAAAAGTTTGACTCCCGTATAACAAAAATTGAATGAAGTATTTTTATTCATATTTAATTTCAAAATTTGCGGTTTCTGACATCATTTTCAAGTTGCCTTAAAGAGGTGGTTAATAAATACATTAGAATAATTCGAGGTTGATTTTTTTTTCCGTTAAATCAGCGGTTCTCAACCGGTGGTACGCAAGACAAAAATAGGTGATACACAAAGAAACAAAGCATTTTTAACTATTAAATTCAAAAATATCGCAAAGAAAAAGAACATTTGATAGAAGTTTCCTGTGATCGAACTCTTCACTGGATATTTAGAAAATGGCACACTCGTTAACTTTTGGCTAATAATAATTTCCAAAAAATAATTTCCAAAAAGGCTTTCCAAAAAGCTATCAAATTTGTATTGCCTTTTTGCACGTCTTGTTTGTGTGAGCAAGGATTTTTTCCATGTTATATTTATAAATACAGACCAAAATTAAAAGAGGATCCTAATTTACGGGTAAAGCTAAATGAAATAAAACTAGACATAAAGAATTCGATCTCTCTTAAATAGGCTCAAATTTCGCACTAAATTTTAAAATTATATATTAAGTAAGTATATAGTAAGTATATACTAAGTAATATAACTTAAATTTTGGTAATTAAAACGGTAACCAATTTTTAAAGTAATTGTTTTTTATGTGTACATATTTTATACAAATAGCCAATAGGTTGCGCAAATGGCAATATATATATATATATATTTAATATTTCTATTGAGAAATCGAAAAATTATCATTGTAAAATGTAGTGGTGGTGCTAATGGTTTTCAGTTTTTGTTTAGATGGTACGCGTTATTCAAAAGATTGAGGACCGCTGCGTTAAATACTATTCAGTGACATTCGTTTTTTGATTTGTTAGTGTGTAATGTTCTTTAATTATTAATTTTGTTACAGTTGTTATGCCTAAGGAGACTCAATAATTGATAAGTTTTGAAACGTTAGAAATACGTTATTAATATTCTCATGCAGATCCTAATATCCACATAGACCACATAGACCAAGAATTTTGCTTTTGTTAAATTTTTAAAAAATTTTTAGTACATTTTTTTTAAAACTGTGTAAGATATTTATTTCATTTTTATTTTTAACGAACTTTTCTAGCCCAAAGGGGCAACTTGCCTGGAAGGGGTATTAATTTTGTTTTGGCATTTTGCGTCGTTTCACTATAAACGGCGAATCACTTTTTAAATTGTTGCCACCCAATATTAGAGCCCTGTATTACATTAAAAGAAATTAAATAATGAAGAATCTGCATAAATGTATGTATGTGTCTCGCATTGTGATAAAACAACGGTACCTAAAACCATCAAATTTTGAATAACGTAATCCTCCACCGAATATGGGCAACTGGAAGCCCAAATTTGGAATTTGCTTTATTTCATATTTTGTAAAGCATTTATGAGTTTTTGATTAAGAAACTCAACGATTTTAAAGCGAGCAAGAGCAACAATGTACAAGGGGGGGATATCTCTTGCGGGTGAGACTGTGTATCGGAAATTCTAAAGGTGTGCTATTTTGTGATATTGCTGTTGAATTCAATTTTATGGTTTCAATGCGAAGAGCATGATATTTAGTAAATGAAGGTAACACGCAAAACGTTAAAAAAAAAGGCACCTTTGGAGCTTTCAGATTTTTTTTTTTAATTCCTTGTTTCATTTTTTAGAGATAAATGCATATTTTGTAACAATATTAACATGGTATCAATATACTGTATGCAGAAATAGTGAACTGTGGCATAAGTCTATGTTCAGGGGATGACTTCGAATAATTAAGCATTAACATGTTGTTCGAATGACTTAAAGTATCTTTATTTATCGGCGTACTGAGTTAATTATTATCTGCTATTATTAGGATATTTATATCAATAAAAATTTGCGTTATAGTAAAAAGTAATTTCAGAATTACTAAATTTGGAAAGGTTAAAGATTTCATTAAATGCGTATTAAAAACATTTTAAAGTATTTTAATCATGTGTTTTCCTGACTTCATTCTAGAACATTTATTCGCTAATCTAAAATTGATAATGATCCTTTAAAAAAATTCAGAAGCTGACTTTTTTTGTGGGTGTTAGTTACCCATCCATATGTTTTTTTTATGGGAATTAAATAAGAGTAAAATCTTTTAAAGTTTACCTGTAAGCAGGAATTTATAAAATTAAATGGGTTTCGAGAAACTATATATTTGTCGACCGCTGCACCTCGAAGACCATGTACGAAGAGTACCATTAATCAGTTGTATTAATTAAGAAAAATATACGATAAAATACGATTGTCTAAAATAAAAATATACTAAAGTGAATCCTTTACATTTTTAATGAAAACTAGCTGATTTAACTGATCAGAACATAGCGGATGTTGGACTGAAATCAGTGATTGAAACAACTAAAAGAACTGGATTAAAAATTCATCATCATTTAAAGTCATACAAGTTCGTATAGATGTATTTTAATACAGGTATGCGAATGTATTACAATATACACTTTTGTGTTATGATGTTGTAGGCATTTACTTCTACTTTTCATTGCCGAAAATTATTACCGAAAAAAAGTGCTGGTAGCTCGGTCCGAGGTTTGAATCCTGCGAACGGGCTGGCTGCATGGGCGTTTTCGTGGTTTTTCCGATGTGTAAAGTGTATACGAGCGAGTTTCCCTTAGAGAGTCCTCCAAGAAGGCATCCATCCCCTTAGAAAGATAGCCCTAGTGTGCTTTGCCGTAATCTCAATAAACAAAACCAAACGGAAAAAAAAGTGTTATTCGAAATAGCTGCGCCCCATTTAGTTTGAATTAATGAGATTCCGCTATAAACGTGTAGTAATTGTCGAAGTTCTTTTAAATCAACTATTTGCATTTCCATTAATAAAAATTAGCGAAATTTAATGAACTCTTTTCATAACAATAAAATATGAATTGAAAGTTAGAAGAGAAAAATCGATTTTTCTTCATGAAAAGAAAAGTTCTTTCAAAACATGCAGATAAAATCAGTCATGAGTCAAGATAGTAAATACCTGTAGGGTATTGTTAAAAGTGTTTGGCGATGTAAAGAATGCTTAGAATATGATCTTGGCGGTAGAGTTTGTAACATTAGTCGCCAAGAAATGGCAACCCCAATCCGCAGAACGAGACGCGTGGAATAGCAGCGCTACCCGCGAGGTAAATCCAAAAAAAAGTTTGTTGGCGGCATCTTGTGTAAAGTTCCGCGGAGCGTTCGTAGCCATTCCCCTCTTTTTTGTTTTCATTGGCAACTCTCTCCAGATCTCATGTCCCGCCAAAACGAAGTCTGTTTGATTTCTGCTAATTGCACGTGCGGCGGAAGATTGAATACTTTGTGTCACGTGCTTCAAAGTTAGGAAGAAAAAAATAGAAGTCGGATGCAACACCTGAACATATCCACCGTACCGTTTCAAGTTTTCAATCGTTTGTTTCTGGAGAACGAGTTTTCCTCCGTTTTCGACATGTTTTCGTTCTAGTGTGGATATTAGTTGAGTTTCGTGTTGTGTAGAATTCAGTTGCTTGTATAACTTTGTGTGTGTCTTTGTTGTTGTAACCATCGTTGATTTTAAGATATTGTGGATCCACCTGAATAAACTGCATGAAATATTAGATCTGTGTGTTTGCTTTAGGAGGGAATTAACATGAGCGGCCGGCCCAGGCTTAGAAGAGCTGGAACTTTACGACGATCGTACTTCTACAATAGTAAGTGTAATTTTCAGTTTAATTTAACAATGTATGTTGTTTTTGTGTTGAATGTTTATATAACTGTTAGGTTATATAAGCACATTTATTGATACAAATAATATTTATTGAGATGACCACTCACTTTTCCAGACAATTTTGGTCATTGTTACGACGCTTGCTTTAGAGAAGAGACTTCTAGTATGTTGTTTAATTATATTCTCAGAAGTACTGATAATTTTCAGACGTGGTCGTGTTAGGAAGCTGGTCGCCGCGATTCCTTTATTAATTTACGCAAAACTCAGTTCTACAAACAATTGCTGAAAAACTAATTTTAGAATTAGTTTCAATGTTGCCCAAACCTCTGCTGTAAAATAATATTACGTAGGTAACGTATGTTCACAGCAGTTAAATTATTTACCTGTATCAAATTAAAGTAGTAATCAAGTTTGTACAATACCATAGTTTTTATATTCATAATTTCAGTTTGGCAGAATATTGAATTTTCCATTATCATGAATTGTTTTGATACATGCACTTTTTTTGGTCTATTTATTTAAGCAGGTATTCATAAAGTCGTTTCTTGAAGATTCCATGTATATAAAAGCTTGGACAATGGGGGGGGAGGAAATTTAAAGGTTTAACAATAGAAGAAAGGTAGTTTTACGCAATTCTCTTATGCATATCTCCGAGATCGGAGAATAGGCATACCTTTACACAGTGAAATATGGCGATGAACACTCTAAATGCGTAGGGTGATGAGAGCAAAAAAAGTAATTTGTGTTAAAGGCGTGTCGCTGACGATATGCTTCATTTTCTTTTTGTCTTGGTAAAAAAGCAGTCTTTTATCGTGTGGGAAAAGCAAATTAAATGATGTGAACTCATGTTATTTATTTTGTATACCTTCGCATTCTGTTACGAAATGATTTTGTTTTTATATTTTTGAGGCATTTTCTAGCGAGTTAAAGAAAATCCAGTGCGTAATATGCATTTATATTTTTATCCGTATCGAATGCGACATTAATGTTTTTAAACTTTGGAAGCGAAAAGTTATAACGTAAAAATGTTTCTCTTGTGCATTCTTGCGTAAAATGAAGTTGAAAATAATATTCATATTTTTAAATTAATAATGTACCTTAAAATATATCGTTCAAAAATAAAAAAGACAAAGAATGGTATGTATAATATAATTGAAATATTATGTGATTGTAGAAACATTTTGTACTTTTTCCTAAAATGACCCATGAAGTATCGATAGGATCTAAGTACAGAATTTTCATTGACATTTTTAAACTGTCCATTTTTTTAAGGGGGACGGATTTGATACGCTGGTTTATGTATTTGAATTAATGGTAACATTGTTTTGTTCTGTATTCCCTTTAAAAGATTTAGCCCTCCTTTTTCTTACATATGTTCTTTTTATTATTAAAAATCGCATATTAATTTTAGAAGTATTAATCTCCCCCTCCCACAGTTATGCTGACATTATTAGGTTATTAAGTTTACGCAAATTCTTTTTTCTATTTTGTGATCATATATTTGAACAAAATATTGCAAACATGACTTGATAAATGCCATCTAGAAGTGAGAATTTGTAGTTTGTTTACATTCTTCAGAGTGGCGCAGCGGTCGCACCATGTGAACTGCTTATTAATCACGTGATTTCATGAAAGAAATCGATTGGCTTCATCAATCCATCAATTCATGCAATATTAAATCTGTTCATATTTTTATTTACTAAGTATTTAGTTTTAGATCTGAAATTTTCATTTTTTCATTTCGTATACTTTATGAGTAATTTTTTTTTTCTGTCCAGTAGATAATAATAAAAGACGACTAGAAATGTTTCTTGATAGTTCCTTAGTTTAAAAGATGCAACTTGTTTTATGTGCATAATTTATATTTAATCAAAGAATTAGCTTAATTATGAAAGGTGAAATATAACAGCGTACAGTTGGTTTACATTCTGCGAGGTGGAACTAATTTCATTCCATGCGAGTTCGTTCCCGGCAAGCTAATGGTGTACACAAATGGCTTGTAAGAATTAAACTAATAATTATTCTAGCGTTTAAGTATTACTGGTTTACTAACCAGTAATTCCTAACTGATAATTACTAACCAGTCCTAATCATAACTAAATAATTACTAACCAGTAACATGTATTATTTTGCTTTAAAGTATTATTTAGTGTAAAATATTTTAACTGATAATCTTTTATATGGCCGGAGGAATGTCATACATATGAAAATATAAAATAGTACCTTTTTATGTTAAAATAAAATTCTAAATCATTTCTTAGAATAACTTGATTACGAGACAACCTTGCGTAAGCTAATTCGATAGATGAGATTTTCTGTTACTACGATTGAGCGAAATAATTCTGTTTCACCTTTTTCATGATTTCTGTTTAATTCTGTATCCCTTTAGTTCACATTTAGCGAAATTTTTTATCACCAGTCTTTTCTTTTTAAAATTTTTCCTGTATGTTTTCTCCCTAAAGTCAAAAAATGTGTTTTTTGTTCAACAATCAGTTTTATGTAGCTTCAAACCTAGAGAATAGTATGTAAACAAAGAGTAAGAAGTTATTATATATTTTTTAAAAAAAATGAGCTAGTTTTCTAGCGCACTGTGCGTGCGAATAAATTTGATTTTGATGCTCAGTCTGATATAAATAAATTTTCGAAATATCCCCATATCTTGACAAAGCGATTATAATCTACTATCATATTTTTCATGACAAGATCAAAACGCGGGATTTTGTCCAGATATCTTTATTTCCTGTTTTCTCTCTCTCTCTCTTTTTTATATATATATAGTTCAAAGGGGCATTTTGCCCAAAAGGACCATTAATTTCGTTTTGGCAGTTTGCGTTGTTTCAGTTTTCAAATTGTTGCCACCAAATATTAGAGCCCTGCATTATATTTAAAGAAATTAAATAATGCAGAATCTGCCTGAATGCACGTATGTTTCTCGCATTGTGATAAAACAACGGTACCTAGAGAACCATCAGAATTTGACTAATGTAATCTTCCATAGAATATGTCATGTTGAAGCCCTAATTTGAATTTGAAATTTATTTTATTATTGCTTTCCTATTTTGTAACACTTCAATGAATTTTTGGTTAACAAACTAAACGATTTCAAAGCGAGCAATGGCAACACTGTACGGGGAGGGGGAAGGAAAAAAAAAGCACTTTTATCCCCAGCGCGCGAATTCTGTATCCGAAATTCTAAAAATATGCTCATTTTAATATTATTTTGCGATATTGCAGTTGAACTGAAACAAAGGTAGCACACAAAATATTAAAAAAAGTCCCTTTGGACGTAATTTAAAATCTAAAACCTTTCAGTTTTTTTTTTTTTTTTTTTTTTTTTTTTTTTTTTTTCGTGGTGTGTGTGTTGTTTTGTATTTGCTTATTATACCGTCAGCTGACCAACTAGCGCTATTTAGCGCCATTTAATGGATGACTGTGTTCCTTAGATCCGCCAACGGTTGATGAAGTGACACGAAAGTGCCTCTCTCTCTCTTTTTTTTTTTAATTTTTATATAACAGATCTATTAGATGTTCAGACGTTAAAAAATTTAAGCTGTTGTTTTTATCAACTGAGTTTATTTTCTCACATAAGGCATAGTAATCCTCTCTCCGAATCAACGGCTGAACAAATTAGTTATGCCTATTTACTATATGTGCTTAAAGCGATTTCACTTAGTTCACGAAGTTTTTGTTCGTAGATTAGTTTAAATCGCTTTCAGGTAGGTTTTCTTATTTGAAATACTCAAGAAAGTGTAATTTACTCGTTGATCTGTAGGTCCTGTAAGTAAAATTTTTGTATATAATTTGCTCTCGTATTTGATAAAATTCAGGGGAACATCATTGCCATTTCTGGGAGTAAAGCCTACGTTACACTGTTGAGATTGAGGAAGAGGGGAGGCTACTTGCTACTTACGTAGCGAGTTAGTTACAAATATGCTGATAACGAGCATTGATTGATTTGCAGCGGCTGAAGGCCGAAATTATCTTGTGCCGCGGAATGCATCTTTCTTCACGTCGCCCGGAATTCGCGTGCTCTTTTTTTTTTTTTTTTTCAGAATCGATATCAGATTAATATGATTATTAGAAACGTGATTTGTGCTAATGTTACGCCTTTCAAAAGCGTTATTATTATTACTTTGTTTGAAGGATATCTTTTATTTACTTATTCTAGTATCTTTATTAAAAAAAAAAAAAAAAAAAAACCTCTAATAAGCAGCCAAATGTTAACAACAGTGAAAACAACCAATTTTTACTTATTTCAGTGCAGTGAATCTAAATGTGACTTCAAAATTAGTCATAACGCAATTTTGAACATCCGTAGTGTTCAGAACTTGAACTATGAAAAGTTTTCAAAACATGCTAGCTCAGCAGTGACCAAAGAGATAAAATCGCTGAATAGTGATGACTCTGGTGCCAGTCCGGCGAACTTGCGACGTTTTTGTGATTTATGTACGAGTTTCTTTTAGAAAGTCCTCGAAAAAGGCATCCCTTCTCACAACAGGCAGATTGTTTTCGCATGCTTTGCCGTAATCATCCAAACAAACGAGAATAAAAAATAAATGCAAAACGAAAGAAATTTGTTAAATGAATACTTTATATTACTACTGTGACTGAATTTTCTGAATTGCAATAAAATATTACATTTTAAGAAAAACAAATTTAGTAAAAACCGAATAATGCATTCAGCTGAGAAGTGGCCAGGCACTAGTTAAAAAATATATACACAGCAGACCTTAATGTTTTAGTATGATGGCTGCCCTTAGGCTGCTGATTTAGATTTTGATGAATATTGAAAGAAATGTTCTGTAAAACTGGGAAGTGGGAAAGCATGCTATTCCAAAAGTCCCGAAGGACACAGTTTAGTACATTTATTTCTTTCTCTTTTTTTTTGGGGGGGGGGGGAGGTATATGGTGATGTCCACTTTTAGTCCATAGAGGTTTAAATACTCTCTATCAGTTTTAAATATAGGCTTTTAGAAAGTAATACGT